GTCCCACCAGTTGAGCAACACAGAATATGATTTGGCACGTACTATCCTAAGACAGAGATGCATGAAGCGATGGTGATGGAAGGGATTATTGAACAGTTTAGGAAATAAGGTTTATTTGGAGACTTTTTTCGTTTTTTTTTGACATTGTGTGGTTTACACTAACTTACATTAAAGTGACATGATTTAGCACGTACCATTCTACTACTAAGACAGAGATGCATGTAACGATAGCAATGTAGAGTATTATTGAACGGTTTAGGGAATAAGATTTATTAGAAGGCTTTCTTCGTTTTTTTGGGCATTGTGTAGTTTAGTCTAACTTATATTAAAATGACTAAAGTACAGTGTTGATGATAACTACTTCGCGATATCAGTACTTAGTTATTTTATATGTGTAGAATTCCAACTTCTAATTATCGTTTCAATTTTATATTATATACAAATTGTTGCACAACTTCATATCTGTAAATTTTTTCAGAAAATGGAACTTAATTACGAAAATGCCGACCAAATTGGTCCAAATCTACCAAATTTGGCAGATTTGAAAAAATATTTGCGTGAGGAGAAGCCGCTCTACTACCAAGTGTTGGAGGAGTATTTGCGAAGGGCGGCACATTTGGTATGTTTATTTTTGATGTGAAGTTTTTTTAATGGTAAGGCATTTCTATTATCCATGGTTTAACCTAAAAATAATTGCTAACTTTTGCTATTATTACTATTGGCATTAATGCCAGAAGAGTGTACAAAATCCTTGACAAGAAAAAAAAAACCTTCTCTTGTGAGGTCACTTAAAAATGCAATGAAAATGTCAGTATGGGATATTCAGTATAAAGACTAAAAACGTTCTACTGAACTCTTCATTACCCGCTGTAAGTGATATTCCTCTTTAGATTAATGAATTAGGAGCGAAATTGGAACGAAGTGAGCGTCAAGCTCACGACGAAGGAAAAGTTGGGGAAAGGCAACGTGAGAATGAGGAGCAGCTCGTGCTCCACCTCCCCGAGCACCAACAGTGTGAAGAGCAGGAAATGATAGAGCCAGTACCGGCACTGGTTCACGATGAAGTAGAGGGGGTGGAGGAAGACGAAGCAACAGAGTTGCGGCAGGTACCACACGAGCTGTTCCTCAATGAAGAAGTTATCGATGCAGTACCAAGAGCCGCGTTAGTGGTCCGGAGACGCAGAGAAGTGACAAGAACTCGTGAAATTGTATTGTAAGTTCATTTTCTCAGTTATACAGATGTGTTTGAAAATGCTAATAGTGTAGTATGAATTGTCGAATTCAATTAATTTATAAATTTATTTTAAAAAATGTTCATAATGTAGATTATTTTGCAATACAGTTCACTCGGACCATGAATAGCTCTTAGCAAATGAGCAAATAGGATGAAAAATTAATTACACAACAACTTTGAGAGAATGATGTCCAGTTATGAATACATGTTTCAGGCGTTCTCGAACGGTACGAGTCCCAATTGTAGAGGAAATAGGACACGAAGTGGCACCAGCAAGTCCGCAAGCCTTCCATGTGCCGGTAGTGGAAGGTTTACCAGCCCACTATCAAGAGCTGCTGGTTGAACCGGAAATCGACCCATATACAGTAATTAGAAATGGCGACGGGTCGGTAATAATTGGTAAGTGAAAACATATTTCATTACTGCACTGAAATTTTATTCAGATGACTTGAATGAATTTGCAAAAATCTAATACATATCTTTTCAGGTTGCGGCATATGTCCTAAACAATTTGGGACTCTAAAGGGATGGCGAATCCACGCCGCCAAAATGCATACACAGAACGGTGAGTTTAACTTCAAGAAGTAATATTAGTACTTAGATACAATTTTTTAAAGAAATTTCTTCGCAGGTAAATTTATTGGAACACTTTTAATATAGTTTGTCTCTTTTCAGGCTTTTGCCACAAATGCGGCCATTTCGTCAAAATGCCGCAGGTCCGTTCCGCTGAAGAAGTTGCAGCCATGATGGAGCTCCATTCTTTGGAATGGTGCCCTAAAGCCACGAAGGCTGTGATCGATGATAGAGCTGCAAAGCGGCGAAGGCTCGAGCTGGTGGGTAGAAACGATGAGGCGGAGCATTATTATATTCCTGGTAGGTGAAGCTTCTTTTTTTTTTTTTTTTCAAAATTATGCCCAATGTAAGAAACTGTATTCTTAAATATTAACTTATTTTTTTTCGGCCAATCTTTGTTTTTATTTCAGGTGCGCAGTGAAGCACTAGTTCTACCATACCGCAAATTAAAGGATAAGTTGTATGCAGCCATCTCTACCCAAACTTCGTCAGTCCCCTATCGCTTCAATACCAAATTTCTCCTCATCACGCAGGTAGCTTAACTCATTTCTTTACCACTATGATTTGATTCAGTTTTCTCGAGATTTTTCAAAATGGCTTCACTAGTTTCTTTTTTTTTCTTTATACACGAAGTTGCTAATTTGTGTTTTGAATTACTAAGGCTTTGTTATTTTTGAAAAATCACAATCAAAATCTGGCATTTTTGATTTCTGTCTTGTTTCTCATGGATGGAAATTTTTTCGAATTTCAAAGGCGTTGGATAAGTTTGGGAAAAACTTAACATCAGATATTTGGCACAAAAAAAAAATGACTTAGCGTTTTGAATTGCCTTCTTTGTTTGTGGTTTTTCCGTTGGTTGTATTAATTTTGTTTTTCTTAATATTTCTTCTTGTTTTGTAATTAATTTAAAAAAAAAAAA